TCAATATTTGGTACATAATAAGTGGACTCGTACCTGCCAGTGGCATCCCACTGGCCCACATACCTCAAGTTTTCATCTTTCAAGAACATGAGAGAGTACTTGCCGGACCTGGTCACTGTTTACCTGGGCTTCTTGGCTTTCTCCCAAGTCGTTTTGGGGGGCAGCACACAGTTGTGTAAAGCCCTCCCTGAAGACGCTGAATGGCCGTCATTGGATACCTGGGACGCCTTTAACGCAAGCGTGGATGGCCGATTAATCCGTACAGTACCGATTGCTTCTCCATGCCATAATCCTACTTTCGATGGAGAACAATGCCAGTTTGTCCGTGACAATTGGCATGAAGTATCTCTGCAGTATGTGTTTGGAAAACCTTCAAGTTTCTATGCCTCATGTGTTTGCAGCCTTCCTAGTTCGTCCTCGGTGATGACACCTTTCTTCGCAAATGGTAGTTGTGATCCATTTACTGCTCCGGACGCCCAGTGCATTATTGGTTCATACATCCAATACGCTGTCAATGTGTCAACTAAAGCCCATGTTGTTACAACACTTGATTTTGCGAAACGACACAATATCAGATTTGTACTACGAAACACGGGTCATGAGTGAGTTCCCCAAGCTCAAACTCTTCTGACAACTCATTGATTTCTTCCCAGCTTTATGGGCAAGTCCACAGGCAGGGGCGGGTTGGCGATTTGGACACATTACCTTCAAGAAATCGAGTTGTTAGAAGATTTTGAATCTGATGCTTATTGTGGTCCTGCTTTTCAAGCATCTGCAGGAGTCTCAGTTGAACACATGTACGACTTTGCTGCAACCGCAGGTTATACTATAGTTGGGGGCGATTGTCCGGTATGTTTGCTTTCTCGTCATTGTGGTTATGGGGTCTCACTAGCTGCTCGTCAGACTGTTGGATTTGCTGGAGGCTATATTCAGGGTGCCGGTCATTCTCCTTTAACTTCAGTTTATGGACTGGCAGCAGACTCGGCTCTCGAGTATGAAGTCATTACCACTGAAGGAAAATTCATTACTGCTTCACCGACAGAACATCCGGATTTGTATTGGGCGCTCAGTGGAGGAGTGAGTTTTGCGTCTCCACTTCATTTAGCTGTTTCTCAATATTTTACAGGGCGGTGGTACTTATGGCATCGTCTGGAAAGTTGTCGTGAAAGCTCACCCGGATCTCCATGTCACGATAGCAAACCTCTTGTTTTCTTCTGCTGGAATATCTCAAGATCTGTATTGGGAAGCTGTGACTGCGTATCTAGAATTTACACCTAATCTCACGGATGCAGGTACGTATTCATTGCTTCCAAATTACTGACCAAATTACTGACAACACTCACATATCCTAGGTGGATACGCTGTATCAACCTACTCGCAGGCAAGTTTTTCGGGTGCGCCTCTCTTTTTACCAAACAAAACACTCGATGAAGTCAACGTCCTTGCCTCTTCTCTTCGAGAACGACTAGATGCACTGAGTATCAATTACACTTACGATATTGCCTCTTACCCCAACTTCCGGACTGCATACGCAGATGTACCAAGCTGGCAAGATCTGCTGGTCGGGAACGTCAACTATGGTGGTCGCCTCCTTCCAAGAGAGCTATTCGTTGGCTCTGCCCTCTCAAATACCGTTCAGGTCTTACGGAACATTACTAACGCTGGTGCGTCTGTCGGTGATGTTGCCATGAAAGCAACAATAAAAGACCAGGATGCTCCTGCGAATGCGGTTCTACCTTCTTGGAGAACGGCTGAAAAGCTTTTGCTGACTATAACGCGAGTCTTCATGATATTAAATCGACAATTACGGTGCTGACCAAAATACTCGAAATAGATCATGGAATGATACAGCTACTCGTGAAGAAAAGCTGGCATCAAGAGATTTGATCACCAATGTCATCGACCCGCCGTTGCGCCAGTTGGCCGGGGACTCGGGAACGTATCTGAACGAAGTTGGTCTATTCCTCGCGCCTGAATTAATGCAGTCTCATTCATACTATTACCCCCAGGCCAATTCCGATGATCCTGACTGGCAACATGCATTCTATGGTGAAAACTATATCCGTCTGCTGCAGATTAAGGATAAATATGACCCTGAGCAAGTGTTGTATGGGTCTACAGCAGTTGGAGGGGACAGATGGGCAGAGAATGCTGAAGGAAGATTATGTCGAACTGCGATCAACCAAGTCACATAGGAAAGTAGACTAGGTGTACATTTTTTTAATTGAGATTGAAAAAAGATGACCAAGCCCGTACTACTGTCGGAGACCGAAGCTAAAGACTAGCGGATGATTTGTGTTTGGCTTTCTGTCACGGCGTACCCTGAAACTTGTTCGTTTTTCAATTTGCAATGCAATATTCCTTTCCATCAAGTCTCAATCACAATGCCTAGTAAGATTATTCTCGTTTCTGGTGCTACAGGACGGCAAGGAAGAGCTTTAATCGACGCTCTCACCACTGCGGACCCCCAGTCCAGTGCGCCCACTGACGAATCTGACTTTCACATCTTGGCTTTGACCAGAGACACGTCCTCTGCAGCTGCTTTAGCACTTTCAAAGGAGAGAGATGTCTCTGTAATTGCGGGCAATCTAGACAACGTACAGTCAATCCGGAAGATATTTGAAGAATACAAGACCAACAACTCAGGCGGGATTTGGGGAGTGTTTTGCATTTTGAAGTTTCCTGGACTGGGAGCGAATGCAGATGGGGAAGAACAACAAGGGAAGGTGTGTACTTTAATTCGTTGCTGCTCAATGTCCGCTAAATCAGAGCGTAATAGACCCTAGCTGACCTCTCGTTGGAATACGGGGTGCAGTCTTTCGTTTTCTCCTCCGTAGAGAGAGGAAGTGAGAGAGATGACGACAAGGCTGTATTGGACAGGTTAGCGAAGATAAGGATAGAACGTCACGTCAAGGCACTGGGAGAGAAAGGATTATCATGGACGTAAGTCGTTCAACTTCGATGTGATATTAGAAGAGCAAGCCGTTATGCTCGCCCTCGTTCCTAGCATCTTACGGCCGACTTTCTTTATGGAAAACTATGATGGCGCCATTGGTTCAATCACAGTTGGTGTACTCAAGGCAGGCTTGAAATCAACAACGACAATCCAAATGATCGTGCGTTTTTCACCCGAATCGTCCCTATACTTTATTCATATTCAATTTTATGTATGTCCTCTAGGCTGTAGAAGATATCGGCTATGTCGCGGCGGGTGTATTCAAGGTATTAAGGAATCAATTCGTGCGCAGCTGAGAAGTTCATAAATCTTAGGATCCGACCCCTTACAAACACGAAATTCTTCTTCTCGCGGGCGAGCGCACGACCATCTCATCTCAAAATGCTGCGTACAAGGAAGCTACCGGTCGCCCCCTCCCGTCTATTCCCAAGTTCATCGCTCGTGCACTCGTATCCTTGAATTCACACACGAGAGACCTGTGAGCTACTATCTCATTACTTCGAGAAACTCAAGGGGCAGACTTCGTCTTCCCCTAATGGCTAATTCCATTTTTCTTTCATAGCCTTGCTGATATTGAACGAGTTCACCTAATCACGTCCAGCCCCGATGACCACGAAAGATGGGAACATCAAGTGTCAACTGCGAGAAGAGCTTACCCTAATCCTGGCATGATGAATTTTGAAGCTTGGGCAAGTAAGAAGTATGGGCCGCGTTCGCAAAACGAGGAAGTACGTCCGAAACAATGGAACCAAGTATCGATATGGAGGTTAGTGTCGGGCAGGTTGTAGGATGCATTCTGAAAGACATAGTATATACTTAATGAATCTTTGCTTTCTCCCCCTTTCCTAAGTAGCTGAATACAGGGTAAGCACACTTGATCCGATTCCTACCGTGCCGCCCGACATGATGCCAAGTTAGACCAAGTACGCGATCGTAGCGTCCTAGAGGCTCCAATATCTCAACACGTCATACAATGATGACGACGGAATGCCCTCAGAGCCAACTACCTGAGGTTGGAGGTTGGATTCCTTCCCTGACTTTCACCCGAAGTGACATGAACTTGACCACAAGGACCGATTTATCCTTCCTATACAAAATTCTACGTATTCTCATTCGCCCTATCCGTCCTCATCTCGTTGGAGTTGGAAAGGGCAAACCATATCCTGCAGGTTCGCCCAATCTCAACCCACCCAAAACCAAATGCTCCATTCGCCACCGACAAGTCGAGGGAATGAACCTCTATGATTTCTATTGTTCCACCTCCAACTCCTCGGATCCAGGGTCTGCCAAACACTCCCATTCCCACAGAGTCTTCTATTTTGCAGGGGGAGGCTTCCAAAGCCCTCCAAGCAAAGAACATTGGGTATTTTGCTCCGAACTCTGTCGTCGCTCATCAGGCATGTTCCATATCACCCTAGTGAGTTACCCACTTGCGCCGAACACTCCGGCTCCGGAATCTCTATCTGCTCTATTCAAATGGTTTAGCACCACCTGCGCCGAGTCTGTTCAGGTCAACGAACACATAACTCTCATGGGAGATTCTTCTGGCGGTAACATCGCGCTCGCACTTGCATTCTGGTGGACTGGTCAGTTAGCTGAACCTGATGGGTCGCCCCTGAAAAGCGTCCTCGTCATGAGCCCGCCAACGGATCTGCGGAACCAAAATCCATCCATAAAGGAAGCTGATCGGTACGATCCCATATTATCCATTCCTCTTACGACGAATGTCGCCAAAACTTGGGCAGGATCCAAATGGACTTTGGATCGTCCCGAGCTTTCACCGAATCTTTTCGAGGACTCTAGTTTCAGGAAAATACGAGATTCAGGTGTCAAAGTACACGGTGTGGTGGGGACCTACGACGTTCTTGCACCTGATGCTATGGTATTCTATGAGAGATGCAGAGATAATGAAGTAGAGGGTGAGTGGCTAGAGTGGAAAGGGCAGATGCATTGTTTCCCTTTAACTTGGATGTATCGATTACCTGAAGGAGAAGCTGGGCTGCAGTGGATTGTGAACCTGTTGAAACACGCTTAGTTTGTCAGAGGGGGTATAGCTCAGCTGGGAGAGCAGCAGACTGAAGTCAACCTTGTGTTCTGAAGGTCCCGCGTTCGATCCGCGGTACCCCCATTATAGTTTCTGTCGTTTTGACTGTCATCTTCACCCTGTCATGAATGTGTACTACCTGTCAAGTGCACAACTGCATTTTTGAATAAATCTCAACTAATCTGTACCTGTGTCACAAATACAGAAAGTATTCGGGACAGCGTTAGCGCGAGTTTGAACAGGTTCGAACGTGTTCGCTACCTACGTGATTTGATCAACATCGCGGGCTAGGACACTACACATTCGCCTGTCATTCATCAAGTGCCCTGAACATCTCCTCTATAAGAAACTTCTGTCTTTCTTCATGTAGTCCGCATGTCAACATCATTCAGACGGATGCAGTTTTCACATTTTGATCTCTTCATCTCGAGATACAGTCTTTCTGCCAGTCGAGTTCATGAAGTTAATCTATTTTGGGCGGGCATGCAGGTATTCAATAAACCTGTCCGTCTGACCCAGCTTGATCATCGCCCCGCATTTTCGTTACCTACCTGGAAGCAAAAATATTACGTCGAGCCGATTAACAGAATTTCTGATGCTCCAACGTCGAGAGGATGAGTATTAAGTAGCAGATGGAAAGTCTTCTATTGCATCCCTGAGACTGAGACTGTTGCAATCTCGTCTAGGCCCAGCTATGTTTAGTTTTGCCTTCGAATTTATTGTTTCTCTCGTCGCGTGTGCCTGCAGCTTGGGAACAAGCAAGGAAGGAATCGCCAACAATGACGAGCGCAACGAGAATAAATTGTTTATGTGCTTGTGGATATTGCACCACGACGATTTGTTATCCCTGATCCTCGTCTGGGTGATGCCCGTCGGGTTGAGATACAACGAAAATGCGCTATTCAATCTAAAGGGATGAAACAGGTGAACTTTTCTGAACTTTCGTAGGTGAGCATTCAAGGAACAAAAGTTTCGTCACGATTCAGGAGTAAGCCCACAAAGGAAATAACCTACTTTGTTTCTTCGAGTGCCATGGGCTTGGGAACAGCGAAGTACCGGAAGTTTGGTATTCCACGGGCGTCAAGCCTCGGTACGAAATCCGAGCATTCAGCAATAACAATGTATATTGATCCGTTCTGCTGGACCCTGATTGTGTATACCTTCTGTCGTTTTCTGATGCTGTTCCATGGATTGAAGACGGTAACTGAACCAAGGACTCGGAGGCTGGCCGATGTTTAGGCTTCGGGGTCTTCCTTCTGCGGAACGATGCAAACGAGATTGCGGTATCGAAAAGCTCGAAAGAATGTGGCGCAAGAATAATCCAGAATGAGAGCCAGACTAAGACCAACAAGTGAAAATCCGCGTGTGTTGTCGGCTGAACAGAACTCGGAATATCGAAGCCGAGATTTCCGAGGGAAAGTGGCTAGTTAGGACGGCACGATTCGAGTCAAAAGGAGTAGCAGACAGGTTCTCCCGCAGGCAAAGCATTGTGGCAGAGAAGCTACAAAAATGACATGACCAACATGGGAGAAAGCTCGACACATTCGATATAATACTGAAAGCACAACGATGGTCGTCCTAAAAATAAAGCAGGGAATAAGTTCAACGGTCACAATCGATCAGAAAAATATGATGGAGTAGAACGAGGGTTTGCGCACAAAGATGGGGATGTCAATCTGGGCTCTAGAGCGTCTGCAGTACGTACGACAACTCAATTTGTTCGAGGATGTGATGAATCTAGTAATTGGTGTTTGGTCCAGTTTGGCAAACCCATCCGATCTGAGTCTCCTCCGTCCGTTGCTCTCATTCCTTCAACGAAATGGTTTCGAGCACCTCAGCAAGATAGTGCTTTCTTTTTAATCTTGAAGCTATCTCACACTTTATTCTATCCTTGCGGATGTACGCATCATCGCTGCAGAAAAATATTTTACGTTGCCGAATCTATAGCAGAACACATATCTAGGTCCCAATTGTTTCGGTGGGAACTCAAGCTACTTAAGTGGCGCTGCAAGGTGCTGTTTGATTCAAACGTTCTTAGGATCTCGGATGGAGGTGGCAACCCCGTTCAAACCCGTAGAGATTCATCCCGTTCAAAATATTTAGTGACGACCGGCTCTACTCGACAATTCATTCTTGGAGACCAAATTCTCATCCAATATGCCATGTCTCGCGAGCGTGTATCCATATGTCTGATTTTACGGAATATGTTGCTCAGCTCTCTTATAAAAGAACCCCAAACCTCTTGACGTCCAACAACCTGTCTTTTCTGACTTGGTTTCGTCGAAGATGCACCGCTCTACTGTCATCTGTTCCCTGACAATTGCCGCCCTTTTCTCTTGCGTCGCCGGTGTAACGACCTTAGAGAAGAGACAAGCCAGTGACAGCGGCATCCCGACCGTTGACGGTGTTACAAACCCAGTATGCAAGCCATTTGTGGCCATTCGAGATGCAATCATGGGTGACATATTCCACGGTGAGTCCCGAGCCTTTCCACTTGAAACGATGCCATGGCTTTGTCAAACGCCCCAAGCCAGTGGTTCGAGTTTGAGAATCTAATCGTGATAACTGTCGTTTTCTAGGACGCTGCAATGATAATGCCCGCGCTGCAATTCGACTTTCCTTCCATGACGCAGGTACTATCACAATCTCAGATTGCTAACTACCCCTGACCATCACAATCTCAGGCACATTTTCACTTTCCCTTGAAGCCGCTGGCGAAGACAACGGAGGTGCAGACGGTTCATTTTTGGTAGACCCTGATGAAGTCCTCCGAACCGAAAACAATGGAATGCAAAATATCGTCGCGCTGCTGAAGCCTTTGCCGGAAAGGTTCAATGTCTCCGCAGGAGATGTTCTTCACGTAAGTGCTAAATCCTGTATGTCCTAGCATCAAAACCTAATTTCCGTTCATTACCTCAGCTGGCTGGCACCCTTGCAGTTGTGAGTTGTGCTTTACGAATGTCCTAAGATCCATTTTTGAACTATAATTTAGTTGGCTTGTCCTGGTGGACCTGTCGTCAACACATACGTGGGTCGTGGCCCAGTAAAAAACGTTAACCCTCACAACCTTATTCCTGACACTCACGACACCATTCCCAACATTATTGATCGATTCAACGACATGGGAATTTCGGTTCGCGAAGCCATGGCATTGATTGGATCCCACACCTGCGCAAGACAACGTTTTGTGGACCAGGCTTTTGCCAATGATACATTCGATACGACGCCCGAGATCTGGGACATTCGATTCTGTAGGTTTTCAACTCTCGAGGGTTCAACAATAATCTAATACTTGAATTTATTAGACTCTGAAACCAAGCGCAACGAATCAGACCCAGGTATGCTTGCGCTGCACCGCTACAGCTCCTTCTAACCATTGTTCATGCAGGTGTCTTCCGCCTTCCTAGTGATCTTGGTTTTGCTCAGAACTCGTTGACGAAAGACGACTACAATCGTTTCGTCGGAAGCCTTTCGACCCAAGAGGACTGGTAAGAAGGCCTTTGTTTTTATTGAGAGGTGTACTCAACGCTCCCGTAGGGCACGCGAATATGCCGATGCACATGAGAAAATGAGTCTTCTCGGACAAGACGTTGAGACCCTTACGGATTGCACAGAAATCATGCCTGAGACGATTCACCTCCGGGACATCACCGTTACGAGCTCAGGAGGAGCTGTAGATCCTGCAGTAGACCCGGGGAAGTTGGAAGCCGAGATTCAAAGAACCAGGTCTATTTGGCTGCAATGAAGTGATTGTGCCAGACTGTAGTTACTCCTGTTACTAAATTGAATGCTGAAAGAAATAAGACTTGATCGCAAATGATTGTTGAGGGAAACTGGGGTAAAAAGATGTTGTATCTTTCGAACGAACTTGACCGCGTTCTCCGCGTTCTTAGTAAAAGTGAAATGAGTGAATCAGGGGTTCAATGACATTCGCAGTTCACTCGAGTCGTATGCAATAGCATTGAGGTTAAAACCGGTCGATGCTCCGAGATATACGAAAGCAGTTGAGCCGGAGTGGAACTATCATTATTAAATTATCCTGTCGAAGAAACACCGCTGTGGGAGAAGTTGCTAATGATTGAATTTCGAAAGCCAGCTGTTTGATAGAAGACGGACAATGGTGTTGTCGGTATCCCAGTTTGGAATGTCGAAATGTGATGCCATGCTTTGATCTGTTCGTTAGTTTGGGCCCTGGATCTATTCCTGTTTCGTGAGTCCCACCGATCCTAAAAATAATTATCAGGTACATCGACCAGAACATTGTCCAAGGCCTTCCAAAGAAGTACAAGGTATAGGCAAAGTCATGTCGCCTGTTCCGGGATGCAGACTCCTGAATTTTGGGGCGCATCAGTTTGCCACTGCCACACTGTCCTGAACCGATTCTCACTGACATTTAGCAACTCGAACGGCGGTCAGAAATCAGCTTAATACGCTTGTCGTCAATCATTTCGTCGTCGTGTGATAAATAGAACTTCATTCCACTTGACACCAAAGTGATAAAGGCCGAATAGGTGATGAGCGCTGAGTGCTAGTCACCGGGAGTCTCGAGCTCTCAAGTTTGACAGCCTAAAGGAATGAGCAGGAGATTGAAAGGTGTAGGTATGTATTTGTTTGGTCAAGCTTGGTAGGCCTCTTCTTTTGTCTTCGAACAACTCTACGTTAACCTGCTTCTCTTCGTAAGTTTCGACTTCGATTCAGCTCCACAAATGCTCAAATATGGTCCAGCATACCCCCAGAAAGATACCCGATTTTTCACGGTCGAAGAGATCCTGTATATACTCTGGTGCGATGAGATCTTGGAAATGTCATCAAACTGTTCTGGGATCTCGGGTACAGGAACCAACCCTCTATGCTTACGTTCAAAACTACGTTTCCGTTCAGAAACGGAGGTAGAGTCAGTGGCAACCGGCTCGTCCTAATTCATTTGGAGGAGGCAAGCTTTAGTGGTCTGATATTGTAGCAGACTTGGCGTATGTCTGTTCCCATTTTCGAAATATGTAGTAATCTTCGTATAAAAGGTCAGTGAAACGACAGTATTCAGCATTCAGACCACCTCGAATTTCAATGTTCTACACAAGCATTCG